TATTGATTTAAAGCTTATATACTACAACTATTTAAAACTGTAATGACTCATACGCGTGATCAACACGTGATCAGAGCTCGATCCCGGCTTCCTTCCAGTACAACCGTATAGCGTACGACATATGTCGTTTCTGTGGCTTTGCGGTGGTCAACAGCACAGACAGAGATGGAAATAATGGCTGATTGTCCTCCGCCGGTAGAACCAATGAAATCAAAGACGCGCCTCGACCGGCAGACTCATAGGCGTCGGCAACGCATTGGAACGTGTTTCATTGAGCGATCGCATATTGTGTGTTTTTATAAGAATTGTTGTGTGATTGTTATTGTTGTGGTTTCTGTGGTTACTGTTTTGGTTATACTTAACCATGGAGAGTACAAATGGCACGAGTGGAAGTACTGAAAGCCAGGGAACAAGTAGACGGCTTCGTAAAGCACTGAAGAGGGACGCGAAAGAAATCGTGCTCAACGTGTTCAATTATCTGAACAGAACTATGTCGCAGGGAGATGCACTCGCGCGTTGTGAAAGTATGACAGGCGTTCCAGAGTGGACCATTCGCAGGGTGGTGCATGAAAAGAAAAAAACTGGAGCTACTACTGATCCAAAGTTGAATTTGAAGGGACGAAAGGCCGTTAAATTGGATGACGATAGCAAAATGGCGTTAAGGCGAACCGTACATTCATTCTTCTTTAGGAATGAGATACCAACCCTCAAGGCTGTACATGCAGCGATCAAGGAAAATGAAATTATACCCCAAATGAGCGTCGAGGTAATGAGGAAATCCCTGCACGAAATTAATTTTCGTTACGAAACGCGTAATCGGAAGTCAGTATTGATAGAGAGACCTGAAATAGTCGCCTGGCGTCGAAAATACCTACGCGAAATGATTGAATATAGGCGACAAAGCAGAAAAATCTATTATTTGGACGAGACATGGGTAAATGCAGGTCACACAGTTAAAAAAACCTGGATAGACAAAAACGTAGTGAGTAACCGACAAGCAAGCATTGAAGGTTTGTCAACAAGTCTTCGTGGACCGTCAGGGAAAGGTCAAAGATTGATCGTAACTCATATTGGTAGCGATAGTGGCTTTTTAGAAGAGTGTGACTTGATTTTCGTCTCTAAGAAAGGAGGTGATTACCATGACGAAATGAATGCCAGCTGCTTCGAGAGCTGGTTTCAAGGGGTGCTTCAGCGAGTTGAGCCCAACTCTGTGATCCTCATGGATAATGCTTCCTACCATAGTCGTCGAGCCGAACGTGTACCGACTATGGGATCTCGAAAAAGTGACATGCAGCAATGGTTGCGCGAAAAAGGAATCCCGTTTGACGATTCATGTGTGAAAGCGGAATTGTATGAAAAAATTAAACAGCACAAACCTGCGAACATTAGTTACGTAACTGATGAGATGGCCCGTCAATGTGGTGTCACTGTGCTGCGGTTACCGCCCTACCACTGTGAACTGAACCCAATAGAGCTCATCTGGGCTCAAGTGAAGGGTTATATTGCGCGCCATAACACAACCTTCAAATTACCAGACGTTAAGGTTTTACTTGAGACTTCCATACAGCTAGTAATGCCAAGCTTGGCAGAATGCTATCCGTCATGTTGTGAAGGAAGGAACAAAAATGTGGCAGCTTGACCACCACATCGACACCATCATAGAGCCAGTTATAGTCAATTTTAACGAGGAAAGCGATAGCGACAGTTTATTACTGTCAGATGTAAGTGGAAGCGACGATGAATAAAGGTAATTCCCAAATTTTTGACTTACAATATGTTTCAAACCACTCTTTATTAAGCATGTGACAAATCTAGTTCACCCATGTTAAACATTCATACCCCGCCTATGAACAGCCGACTACTGGTAGTTAAGTAATGTTCACGTGAACATCGATGAGTCATTACAGTTTTAGATAGTTATAGTATAGTACACTTTAATAGGTACATCAGATTAGTTTGTACTACTTTCAGAAGATATTTGACTAACAGAATTTACTTAATAAGTAAATGCTTTTCTTCACTACGCCCATGGTTTGTTTATCATTTTATTGTTGAAAATAGCTATTAGAGCGTTTTTTTTGTGGCAAAAAAGTTATTTCTTGAAGTAAAGATAAGGACCTATCTCGTACTTATTTTAAATAGGAATTTAGTACATAGTTTGCGATTGATTTGACCAAACTTTGTTGCTAAAATAACTTGTAAAGCTTTATTACAGAAATTAACCATGGTATATTTCACAGCAGAAAGAGCTGAAATTATCGAAATATTTTTCGGAAATAATCAGTGCGCTAATAGGACAGCAGAAATATTTAATGAGCGACATGAGAACAGTAACGTGCATCGAAAATATGTTCTAGAAGTTGTAGCTAAATTTCGGGATACTGGGTCAGTCGGTAATAAAAAACGCAACATTGAAAATCCCATAAGGAACGAAGCAATAGAAGTGGGGGTTTTAGGGCAAGTTTATGTAGACCCTACGTTAAGTACCCGCAAATTGGAGACTGTGTGTGGTGTTAGTCGACGTACTGTCCAACGGATTCTAAAGGCCCATAGTTTTCATCCGTATAAAATTCACCTGGTACAAGAACGATTTTGATCGGCGATTATAATTTTGTGAAGATATGAGTGAACGAATTATAAACGATGAACATTTTCTATTCAACACTTGCTTTTCCGACGAATGTTCCTTTTTATTAAGTGGCGTAGTACATCGTCATAACTGCCGATATTGGTCCGATTCTAATCCCAGAATTTATCATGAGGTTCATACACAGCAGCCACAAAAATTAAATGTTTGGGCTGGTATTTTTGGCGATCATTTAGTTGGTCCTTTTTTCGTACCTGGAAATTTGACCGGTGAAATGTATTTGGAATTACTGGAAGACGCCATAGATCCTGCATTAACAGACATAATTGAAAATCAGAATGATCGGCGGTACATTGCGAATAGGTTGATGTTCCAACAGGATGGTGCCCCACCACATTAAGCATTCCGTGTTCGACAATATTTAGATCAGACGTTTCCAGATCGATGGATTGGTAGAAGAGGTGCCATTGAATGGCCCCCAAGGTTGCCAGATTTGTCACCTTTGGATTTCTTTATGTGGGGTTATTTAAGAAGCAAAATCCATGCTACTCAGCCAACATCATTAGAAGACCTGCGACAAAGAATTGTGAATGAGTGCCTTCAAATTACTCCTCAAATATTGCAAAATGTGCGGCAACGTTTTGACCAAAATCTTTATTATTGCATGGAGAGTCATGGTGGCCATTTTCAACATTTACTTGCCTAACGGGTCAGTTCATTCTTCATTTTTAAATTACTTTGCTGCCAAATGTATTGATCTCCACTAATGATGATGTATTAGTTTTATTTAAGCTTTAAATCAATAAATATTCAAAACTACTGAACTGAAGTACATTAATTTTATATCAGTATTAAGGGAATTGCAAGACCTTTACAATAAAGTATCACTCAATCCCCCTTTCCATTTAAGATTTTGGGGGTGGTGTCACCTCGCTTAGGGGGCTGCACGTGCTAACGTGATTTTTTGCTAAACTTGTGTCCCCCTCGGAAACAAAATCAACGTGTCTGAGCGTTTAAAAAAAACCAGTAAATGCGTCTATTTCGTTTTCGATGCGCTACCCTGTATATGTCTAAGCCTATGTACTTAAGAGAAAAACTGATATTTAGGGGTAATATACATGATGGGAAGATGTCCAAATATGATAACTACACCTATTCACTCTGCACCTTTATTTCAGTGTTCTTTAAATGTCTTTAAATTGCTTAAAAAAACTGTTAAATCTCAAATCTGCTTGGATCCATAGTTTAAATATTCTGCTTGCTCTTGTCTTTTTTGTTAATTTTTTTATTTACTTTCTTTGTGTACATAGAGTAACCCTTGTGCAACATATTTTTTTGTTTTTGATATCTGCTACTTTTTTCCACGGGTGCTTAAGTGTAAAAGTAGCCTGTTGCTAAACATTGCCACCATTTGTAAGTCTTTTTTGTCTGTATGGGAATGTACAGATTATTATTATTATATTTCTACTCTACTGATCAGGGCCGTGGCAAATCCTTGAACTCAGTATACAACTTGTTCCTGTTCAAGCGATTGTACACGCGATAAGGAATACTCCAGTCTGCCATCGGGCCACCGAGGCGGTACCACCTGCTATATTTTCTTTTCTTTATTTATTTACCTATTTGTCTACAACTAGAATGTGCGCCATAGGCTGAATAAATAAAAGAATTGTTTTGAATGTTCAAGGAAATCAATCACCTATGACCTTAATTATGCCGTGATCTTTATAAACATCATATACAAGTAGGGACTCCGTCTGGATCAAAGTTGAATTCACTGGGCGAATCCACGGCTAGTCGAAAATATTTTTACATGCGTTTTATGATGATCAATATTTACTACTATAGCATATTGGAATTTGAAAAAATCTATTAATGATGTTATTAGTGTAAACAGATGAAAATTACTGTCTGGAGAAATATTTACATCATGACCATATTCGAATATTTTTGCTGGTTGTGAATCTTACACGAGCGAAACGAAAAACGATTAGAGACTTTATAATGTAAAGATTGATAAAACTGAGACTTGAAATATTTATACTGGTTCTCATAACATGAAAAAAACTGAAAATTATTTTATTTTAAAGTGGCGACCTTGAAAGGTGATTTTGCTGATATAGTTCGTTATAAATATCCTTGGTATCTATAAGTTTATCATCATCATCATCATCATCACTTCCCATCTTCAACTTGTAGAGATCTTGAAACCGCATTCAACTATTGATTATTTTTTATTTCATACTTAATTAGATTTTACATTAACGTAGTAATAGGTTAAATAACATTGTTGAGTGTGATGGCCATTGGTCAGTCAGATATATTGCTACGTTTTTCTAAAACACCCTGTATAACAAAAGTGAATCTTTTTGAGCAGTCGCATTAGATCTAATGGTTATCTACTTTGTTTCAGCAAGTTCCGGTGCTCGGATGGGCCTTCATTCTGTGTTTGGTTATAGAGCAAGTTATGGCCAGGCCAGGTGGAGAATGGTCCCAGTATAAAGATTTGTGTGCTGATGATGTAAGTATATTCTTTTTTTTATTACAGCACGGTCACAACAGTCAACAATTGATAAGCAATTGTTGATATATATAAGTCGTAGCCAAATTTTGTAAAAACCTTATTTTTTTAATTACACCGGCAACAAAAAAGGTGGTGTCTACTGGGGGTCTCACTATGTTTCTCAGGTAAACACGAAGTCAGAAGTGGGACTCGTAGGACAAATATGGAAGTAACTTTGACATCAGTATTATAGAGTTTGTTATTTTTTGCGGATGTGTAGATCCTATAAACAGTATAAACAATGCACATTCACCAAAATATTGAAATATATAATATTGATGTCAAGTTACTTTCATATTTGTCCCCTTCTCCAGAAGCAACGGTAATGGGCAACGTTAACAGTATTCGTAATACTATGTTTAAATTTGGTGCAATTTTGAGGCTGGTGATGAAATGTACTTCAAGAGGGCATTCTTTCTTTATCAGTGATGATTAAACAATGCATAATTCATCTCCGCACTTAAGAAGTTTGCTAACGGGAGTGGCATGATTCAAAATTTTGGTCAAGATAATAACAGAGCATGAATTTAAACTATTTCAAGCTGACGTCTGTCCTAAAAGTTTTAGGTACCTATTGAGTAAAGGCATGATGATAGGTCTGGCCAAAAGACAATATGGTCATTAGTTTGATGTTTGTGGACAAACTGAAGCAATTTGAGAAAGCAGTTATCAATATAGCTGTGACTATTCAAAGCTTCATACCTCACTCTTCCAAGTTCTATACATCCCTGTTAGAAATTGTTCACCAGAAAAGGATTTTATCTATAAATTTCGCCTTATGTTTGTATCTAACATTGTGGGTATTCCTGTATATTGCCCGTATAGAATCAGGTCGTTTCCCTTCATTTCAGAATTAAGTGAAATACTTATACGAGTCCCTTCCCACTTCAGTTGGCCCAACTATTGAAATCCTAGTTTTTTTTATCAAACACAAATAATAAAAATGTAGCATTGAATTATAGGTTTAAAATATTAACAATGCATATTTTGATAATATATAGTAGAAAACACCAACTGTATCACTCCATAATCAAATTTGCAGAATAAAAATAACAGATGTTGCAATTACAGCATATCAACCTATTTTCATTTCAATGCAAAATAAGTCTATAACGCATAGCTGGCTGTGAAAAATAAAAGCCATGACAATTGTTTTTATTAATCACAGCTGTCAGACTACGTTTAAAATAGTTTTGGGTAGTTAAGGTTTTCAAAATGGGTAGAGGAAAGGTTATTAGTGAGAAAATTCGGTTACTGATAATTAAATTTTTTAATTCTGGGAAATCAAACTCAGAAATTGCAACTTTGTTAGACTTATCGCGGTACAGTGTGATAAATATTGTTAGAAGATATAACGTAACCGGTTCAGTTAATATTAAGCCATGATATGTGAAAAAAAGTAATATCTCAAATGCCGACCGAAGAGCATTAAGAAGAATAATCGTGAAAAACAGGCGTACCAATTATTTACAATTAAGTGCTCTGTGGAGTGACGCTGTTGGAAGGAGAATTTTGACGTCCATAACTCATAGAGAGGCCCACAAACTGGGATTTAGCACTTGCAAGGTAAGTTTTCTTATAAAAAAAGTGAAGTAGAAACCCTAAAGTTGCACAACTTGTTTATAGGCCAAAGAAAAGCCACTATTAACTTCACTGCAAAAGAAAAAGCATGCAAGCATCCATTATGGTCTGGGGCAATATGTCATCAAAAGGAGTAGGAAAACTTCATTTTATTGATGGAAATGTGGATACAAACAAATATTTGGCAATTTTAGAAGACCCGCTTTTACCAGTGATGGAAGAATGTTTGACATCCGGCCAAGATTTTGTGTTTCAGCAAGATGATGCAGCGTGGATGGAAGAAAATAATGTACCACTTTTGAAATGGGTTTCTTGCAGTCCAGATCTGTCACCTATTGAAACTTTGTGGCACGAGATTTAAAAGGTTCTACGACAACATCTTGCTCGTACAATCACCGAACTTAAACAAAAGCTTCAAGAAATGTGGGATTGTTTTACACCAAATTTTTGCCAAAACTTGGTTAACACTATGCCCCAAAGAATTTCAGCCGTAATAAAAAATAAAGGTGATGTTACCCAATGGTAATCTATCAATTGTTGCTTTGTTAACTTCGCGCATTTATTCGCACATTGTTTATTTGTTCAGATGTTCTATTAGTTATAGGTCTAAGTGATTTCAAATATGTATTTTTTACGACTAGAGTGTATCTAAAATGTTTTTGAGAAAATAAATTGTTTTAGAAGTAAATGGTTTCGTCATGTTTAGTTTATAAAGGCATATTTTGGTACAAATCTTGAAGTGGGCCAACTGAAGTGGGAAGGGGCTCGTCATCTAACATAATGATTTTTCCATTGGCAACGAAGAGTTGCGCTTGAGAGTATTTGGGGCAACTTAAGTTTCTTTCGATTTTTAATTCAATTCCAACCATATCGTACTCTTAGAAAAACTGTATTGACGAGCCTGTCTCCTTGTTCACATTCCAACCTGATTTTTTGCTTTTCTCAGCAATCTCTCTGCAGTAAATGCACGTGGTCTTCCACTTTTTGGGAGTTTCAGACATGGTATTCCCTGCTCGCACTCCGCTATTGTTCGATAAATGGTTTTGAGTAAAATGTTTCCATTCTGGAGTATTCGACAGATTTCAGCTTTGGGTACCCGCGCAATCAGCTTGTAGATACTTTTTCTTATTTATAAGTAAGACATCTTAAAGCGAGAACTTCAAAATAAATAAATATCAGTCAGTCAGTTAAAATTTATAGACCAATAAACGCCATCTTGCAACACTGTCTGACATGAAAGTTTGCTATTATTCCGAAGCATCGTCTCTTAACAGCAAACACCTTCGATACATGAGGTGAATGACCTCAAACAGTATGCAGTATTGCAGGTTAGATTGGAAGTAAGCTTAATAAGCTGTCATCAAAGTCGATTTTGCTACGTAGGCATTTAAACTACGGATCAAATAAGTTATTTTAGATGAATTCTTTAATAAAGAGGTGATGTTTGATTCTCAAGTTCAGTTGGCATCAATAAATATTCCAAGGAATTTTTCGGGTTCTACTAAATTACTTTTATGTGGACGAGTACCGAGTAGAAGAGATTGAGTTTTCGCTATGTTAAGAGATCGTTTTGTATGTAGTCAAAATGCTGCTGAGAATCAAGTAACACGCCTAGTGGCGGAGGAAGTTTTGTAATAGCGAAAAATTTCGAAAATGAGATATTAGGTTTTTTTGATCTTATATGACATGTAGCTCCACGAAAACCCATGCCCCTCATTTCCATCGGTCTGTCTGTCCACTAATCCTTGGATTTGGATGAAATTCTAGTACAAGGTTACTACTACGCCAAGGACGTTAAGGCCAAAATAAAAAAAAAGAAATTTCGTTTTTCAACATTTCAGGGAATCCTGATAGTCTTTTAAAAATTGTTTAGAGGTAAAAAATTAGAGGGTAGGGGGCTGTGGGTAGCAGACGAGGATATATCTCAATTTTTTTACGTTACTTCCAACCCCGTTGATTCTGCGCGCCTGACATATTTTATACATTATACATTTGCCCTTAAAACTTACAAAAATATTTTCAGCAGACGGATCGCCTATAGGTCGCACATGTCGTGCTCCACGGGGTTACTTATAACAATAAACCGTCTTTAAAGATTTTTATTAACAAAGAAAATACGGCATAAGCCAGAATCGAAGAAGTATACAAAAAATATATGGTAAATAAAGTTTTCTAAGAGTTAAACAACATACGCATTCGCAAATAAGCATACAAGAAGTTATTATGCTTTTAACTTTTTGATAACATACAGAATTCTCAACGAAAATAGCAGAAAATTTTTATGTTAGAGAGATATAACCACTTTTAATATCCACCTATATAATTAGAGTGTAATTCAAAGAGGTTATTTCATTTCGTTACGTAATATTATTTAGTATAGTATGTATCAAGGAGCTATTATGATCAATTATCAAACATTGTTGACAAGCAGTTTTTTACACCAGAGCTGCAAAGAAAAGAGGCTTCCGGGTACGGACACGCTCGTTGCTGCAATTTGAGGAAATTTTTAAATAGTGCATTTCTGGTTCTGACAAAACCTACGTTTTTTTTTTGATCTCATTGCACGACATAGAAAATTGTACTAGAAGTTGTTTCGGAAGCGTGAGAATCTACTCTACGTCATTTTATTATTGAAAAATTGTAGCTTACGCGGTTTTTGCAATGACCAAGTATAATAACAAAAACATGTTAAATTTTCTATTTTCTTCTGAGTGTTTGACCAAACCTTTGTTGTTTTCAGCCTCACAAAAGGGAGATGTGTCAGAGATGTGCGAAGCAGACCAAATCGCCGGTAGTCTACCCCATGTGCTGTAATGAAGAAGATGAGGTGCACCATTGGTGTATACAATACACGACGTTTGGGAAAGAATATTGAAATGTCGTCTTGAGGCTTGTTTACACATCACAAGTTGCACGACAGTGGCTCGATTCATCTAGCCCAGCTCGGATGATAACTTGCACTGTGTAAACAGGCCTTAACTCATCACATTCCTGAGGAAGACTGTCTGTGATACTATTTTCTGGAGAGTGAATGGTGACTGATGAATACTTATATTTACCTCTAGCGAAGACAATATTTTTGCCAAGATGCTTTATATTAATTAGAGATAAGTATTTAAGATGTGATATTACGTGGTTGTCATACTACTTGTGTAGCCAATGACGATTGAATCAAAATTAAATGTAACTATTATATTATGAAATTCAATCGTAAAAGGGAAAACGAATCGTTTTAACCCCTTATTCAATTTAACAACATCGTAGACTTTTTGATTTTCGGAATAACTTGTTTGAAAATTCGCAACATTCAATGCAAATAATAGCACATGCTAAAACACTTTTTCAGGAATACAAGGTCATTCTTATTTTCAACGAAAAAATTGTTTCACTAAGGTAAAATCCAAAACTGTAATTTATATGAAAAAAAACAAAAATTTATCAACGCTTAACATCGTTAATATATAAATTGAATCAATTAATAGAGAAAAATCACGCGCCGTGGCATATGAGATTTGTGTCACTGAGTAGTAACTTAATGTTTGTGCCAAAAGTGTCTCATTTATAGGTATGGTCCCTTTTTTTATTTTTCGGATATTAATAAAGATTTATTTATTTTTTAAATTCTGAGTGGTGTTTCGTTTTGATTAATACATGATGTGAAAGTTGTTATCGTTTATTTGACCATGGCTCTTCTTTATTGCTTAGATAGAATCATTTGGCTTTCAACACTATCTCATGTCAACCAGCTTGCCATAGTGTTTCTGTGATTTCTTGCATTTTGCCAAGCATATCAAAACCGTGGATTCAATTTTTGAAGCAATTATTTATATTTACCTTAAGAGACATGACCATAGGATCAATGTTGTTGTGGTCGTGACTTTTTTAATTATGCGGTGACGGATCATCACAGTTTGAGCTCGGTGATTCTTATAAATAAAGTGAATATATTTTTCAGATGATATGATTGAAACCGAAATCATATTCGCTCTGTTCGGTTTCGTTCTGAGTTTGTTAAGATTCATTTAGCATTATTGCTACAATGTCAATTTTGTATAATTATTCGCTTCCATATTTTTCTTTAATCCATTTTCTGTAATTTTACATTCTTGTCTATTAAAATTACATCCCTATGCATTTTGAGTATTCATAAAGTGACTTTCTAATTTCACCTTAAACATTTTTAAATTCGAACACTGTGAGTGTGACAGTAATCATTCGCAAGGCGCAGATTCAGAACGGTTCTAAAATAATTCTCTATAGAAGCCGAACAGTAATCATTTTTTTTTATTTTTTCACTTGTCACTGAAAATAAGAATGGCCTAGGAGAGTTCAGTACATAATTTTCGGGTAATCCTAATTGTATGTGAGGAATTAACTACTCCTAGATTTTCTCTACACCACGAAGCCGCGCAGGTAGATGCCTAAGTACCAGGACAAAGCGGTTGCCATGAGGAGCTTAAAGAAATTTTGTTCTCAATCTCGATGATCTAGGGATAAAGGAGAGGTCGTATTGGCCAGTTCTGGATGCACGAAGTCCGACACATTGGTCTAATGGTAGAAATAGCTATATGGACGACAGCCTGCCAGTGTGAAAGGGTCCCGAGACTGTCCGTAAGAGAAGAGTCATCAATCAGGCAAAATAAACGGCTCTTTGGTAGAACTCGGCCATCCATCCAAAGTGGATGAGCACTATGACGATTTTTGTTCGTCGTGGTACAGTACTGTGTTTTGAAAGCATTAACCTGTACATGATTGTTGCATCCCCAAGTAGTGATAACCTTCAGGTCTCTCGTCAGAGATGAAGTCGCTGCTAGTCTTCTTTTCTCCAGTACACTGGCAGAGATCGGCTTCAGCAAAGCTGTGGATTGGATTGTTCGGGAGAGGAGGTCGTAGATATATAAGGGGAACAGTGTTGGAGCAAAGACTGATTCCTGGGAACACCCGCGTTGACGTTGTGGGATGACCAGAAGAACCCGTCAATTATGACGGATATCTTGCGGTCAGAGAGCAGGTCTGCCACCCATCTGCAAAGCTTCTCTGGAAGGCAACAGGATGGAAATTTGCATAAGTGGGCAGCATGCCACAGCTGATCGAACGCTTTCTTCATATCAAGAGCAGCGACATGAGCCTCACCATAACTGGATGGGCTTACTTCAGAATTGGGTAATCTGTGGATCGCTGGTGCCGGAAATCGTCATGCCTGTCGCTAATCAAGCCCTGACGTTCGTGCGAATCCAGAAGCACCTCTCCATAACCTTACTTATAACAGAAAGCAGAGCTATAGGCCTGCAGTTGTAAGTGTTGATCTTAAACCCTCTGTTTGGGATGGTGCCGGGTTCGTAAGATATATGGAAGAGACGCGAAAGAAAAGGAGCAAGCTCCACTGCACACCTCTTCAATACAACGGCAGGAATCGAGTCTGGATCAGAAGCTTTATTTCCCAGATAGTGTAGGCCACCCTCTGAATCGACGGCACTCGGGCGTTGGAGGATACGTCAATGGAGGACTTTTTCCGCCTTAGCCTTTGAGTCAGTTACAATCATTCCATCCTGGCACGTAAGTTGACTGTGCCTAATTTCTAGATCGTGCGGGTCTTTGTAATTGAGGACCGTTGATTTCGATGTTCACAAAATTACGAAAATCCGGTAACGTTAGGCAGTTCTTATTATCTCTGGTCGAATTATAGTGAAATAAATGTTCTATTATCTCATCTTCCATTGTGCAGGTATTCCTGAAGTTTGATTTTAGAATTCACTATTTTAGCAACTGTATATGTGCTAGAATTTTAATATCAGTATTATATATACAGTGTGGAATGACATGCAAGTCGTCATAGGTACACCAGTGGTAACATCCGAAAGGATGATGAGAATTTTATACTTTAGTATTCAGGTTAGACGTGTGATAGAAATTGTGGCGAGATGAATGTATGAATCGTGCAAGACTAGCTAGACATAAACGCAGCATAATTTTCAGGTTCCATATTCAGTTCTCAGAAATGTAGTTTTTCATATTTTTAAGGTATATAAAAATTGTTTTGAACCCATATCTACATAATAGTTAAAAATGATAGCATTATGTTTACGTATAATGTCAAATTCACATCTTGGGCCAACGTAAGCCAACACGAATATGTAAACGCTAACCCAATGCACTTTGGCTGAATGATGACATATCATTCCACGTTGGCACAAACGGTTGCTCAAATGTGTGAATGCGCCATAACAAGTGTCCACTCAGCTTATTTTGACTTTTTAACATATTTTATTTTGTTATCGAATCATTCTAATTAATAACACGGATTATTCATTTTATGAGGGTAAGTTATGCTAGCTAGGTTTTATTGGTGTGCTGAAAAATATTGAATTTTGATTTGTTCATACCTAGATGGCTGTGATGTATTTTGCAAAATGTTCGTTTTAGTAGTATGTGTGAAATATGAATAGATCAACTTGTATATAGTCATCAAAAAAGAATCTTACGAGGACAGATAGACTCTTTTGCTTTTTATTGTTCGATAATTCAAAAAATTACAGCAGGACCTGTCATTTGTTAAATATATTTGAGTGGTGATGTGTACGTTGTATGTATGTAAGCTTTTTGTAACTTTTTTAATAAACAATAAGCTAGTGTAATTGTATTTGTGTTTTTATGACCCATCTTTAAATGATAAAATTAATCCTAAACTTTTTTAAATGAATCAAGATTGATATCAATTAACTTGTTTCCTTGGGTTCACAGCGATAATGTTGACATCGTTTGTGGAGTGCTGTTCAAAAAGGGCTGGTTATTTTTTAAGCAGTTGAAAAATAAACAAACTGAAATTTTACTGTACCATGTACTTTATAAATCTATAATATAGTATGAAATCACTATCAGTACAAAAATACTCAATTTTTATTTCCCGCCAGACCTCTATTTTCAAACCAAGAAAGTTACTGCTATGTGAAGGACGAAAAAGCTTTGTAGGTTTTGGAAATCGACCAGTGGCGGTGCAGTGCTAGATTAACATGTGTTACATATTAATTGAGATGCTGGATCTATACAGGGTGTTTCAAATTCGACCCTCACTATAAGAGATACGAAGTCGCTTAACTAGAGGCAAAGTTGCGTATTTTGGTAACCAACAAATAAATAAATATACAGGGTGGCCCATCCATGTGTGGACGGAATATTACTCATAAAAAATACATTTTGGGAAAATCTATTTATGGGATGTTATACACGACATTTGAGGGCACATTTCTAATATATTGGCCATTATACAGGGTGTCCCAATCTTGACCTACATATCAAAGTTGTGATTTTTCAAATGGAATGCCTCAAATTTTATTGCATAGTTGGATAAACCAATTCAATAGAAGAAAATTGATATGACGTACTATGGGGTTTTGGTAAAAACTGAGATATAAGGTGTTTTGTCTAGTAAAACCCCCAACTTCGGCAACCCCTCGGTCCGCCATTTTGAAATTTGGAATGCTGAATTTTGTATCAAAAATAATTACACATCTGCTTTTATCTTATTTGTTACTTTTTCGAGTTTTAATTTATGCTCATACAGGGTGGTCAAAAACGCAAATCATAGTTTTTCTCAAAAATTTCAAATGCATCAAACCAAAAAAAAAGCTTATAAAAAATTGAATACAAACTTGCACAAATATACAGGGTGATGCATTTGAAATTTTAGAGAAAAAGTACAATTCGCGTTTTTGACCCCCCTTTATGAGCAAAAATGAAAATTCGAAAAAGTAACAAATAAGGTAAAAGCTGAGGTGTGCGAGTTTTTTTTGATACAAAATTCAGCACTCCAAATTTCAAAATTGCGGATTGAGGCATTCTATTATGAGTAATATTCCGTCCACACATAGATGGGCCACCCTGTATAATACGCTTGGCCCCATTTAAGTGACTTCGTATCTCTTACAGTTTCAGAGAACCCAATGGTGTATACCCGATTTGTAAGAAATCGCCACCTTGGAGACTGTACTTTAAGAAGTTATCTTCTGTTATTCCTGTCAGCTTCAGTTCCCAAATGGTGAATCCCGGGTATGGTATAAACACATATGTATGTAGCTGGCAATAATTTTTGTGAGGCTACCTTGGCTACTTCTACTAATTCCGGTGGAGTCAAAGAATCAGATATTTTTTACTTTATAGTAATAAAAATAACTTCTAAACAACCACTAAGTTCACAATTTTTAAATCAAATCACAAAATTAAATTGACAGCTATTTAATTACTTTAAATGTTTCCTCAGCAACGCAGGTCTAATTGTCGCTATAAGTACAACATAGCCTACCAATTTCAAAATTCAAATTTCACATCGATAATTTTCTGACTTAAATATTGTAATAATATAATTTTTCAATATTAAATCATGGGAAAAATACTAGATTTTAAAATCTAGTACTTTTTTCCCTTGTATAATAAATAACTAATATTGGTACCTACTTATAGAAAATATTAAAAAACCATGTAGACATATATTTACATAAAACATGAAACTGTCATAATGAACCGAACACTTTAATACTTTCAATATGAAACTGAAGGAAGCTTCAATCGCGGCAGTCTAATTGAAACTCCAGCGTTTTGTAGCTCTTATTCAATCCCTATGGCGATACGAAAGCCATATAACAAAGTAATATTAGGTCAAGGGCTCACATAACAATGTTGCCTGCAGACGCGCTGCTGCAGCGCTACAATCGCAGATATATAACTTATGTGTACAGAACCTTCTTTATGCTGCAATACGTATCGTTAGTCACACTACAATGTAAATGTGTGCAATTGGATTTCGAGTAATGGAAATTAAAGATTTAAAAATTCGTTTAAGTAAATTTTATATTAGGCACACATACGACTTTTTAGTATGTAATCGTTCGGAAACTGAGGTAAAGTTATGTAGCACTTTAATCCATTCCATCCATCAGCTTTAGCACTCATTCAAAGTCAACTTTATGTAATATGTTAGTTTCAATGGCTTCAAGTCGTACCAGTATGTAACCAAATCGGACTGCCTCAGGGTTCAAACCTTGGTCCTTTATTGTTTACCTTTTTATTGATAATATTGCGCGATAAGTTGTAATAAACTCCTCTTTGCGGATGAATAAAAATTATTCAGGATTATTGAGTCTGAGGCTAATTGTATTGCACTTCAACGGGATATTGATGATTTAGTAGCTTGATGTGACTATACTACAACTATTTAAAACTGTAATGACTCATACGCGTGATCAACACGTGATCAGAGCTCGATCCCGGCTTCCTTCCAGTACAGCCGTATAGCGTACGACATATGTCGTATCTGTGGCTTTGCGATGGTCAACAGCACAGACAGAGATGGAAATAATGGCTGACTGTTCTCCGCCGGTAGAACCAATGAAATCAAAGACGCGCCTCGACCGGCAGACTCATAGGCGTCGGCAACGCATTGGAACGTGTTTCGTTGAGTGATCGCATATTGTGTGTTTTTATAAGAATTGTTGTGTGATTGTTATTGTTGTGGTTTCTGTGGATACTGTTTTGGTTATACTTAACCATGGAGAGTACAAATGGCACGAGTGGAAGTACTGAAAGCCAGGGAACAAGTAGACGGCTTCGTAAAGCACTGAAGAGGGACGCGAAAGAAATCGTGCTCAACGTGTTCAATTATCTGAACAGAACTATGTCGCAGGGAGATGCACTCGCGCGTTGTGAAAGTATGACAGGCGTTCCAGAGTGGACCATTCGCAGGGTGGTGCATGAAAAGAAGAAAACTGGAGCTACTACTGATCCAAAGTTTAATTTGAAGGGACGAAAGGCCGTTAAATTGGATGACGATAGCAAAATGGCGTTAAGGCGAACCGTACATTCATTCTTCTTTAGGAATGAGATACCAACCCTCAAGGCTGTACATGCATGCGATCAAGGAAAATGAAATTATACCCAAATGAGCGTCGAGATAATGAGGAAATCCCTGCACGAAATTAATTTTCGTTACGAAACGCGTAATCGGAAGTCAGTATTGATAGAGAGACCTGAAATAGTCGCCTGGCGTCGAAAATACCTACGCGAAATGATTGAATATAGGCGACAAAGCAGAAAAATCTATGATTTGGACGAGACATGGGTAAATGCAGGTCACACAGTTAAAAAAAACCTGGATAGACAAAAACGTAGTGAGTAACCGACAAGCAAGCATTGAAGGTTTGTCAACAGGTCTTCGTGGACCGTCAGGGAAAGGTCAAAGATTGATCGTAACTCATATTGGTAGCGATAGTGGCTTTTTAGAAGACTGTGACTTGATTTTCGTCTCTAAGAAAGGAGGTGATTACCATGACGAAATGAATGCTAGCTGCTTCGAGAGCTGGTTTCAAGGGGTGCTTCAGCGAGTTGAGCCCAACTCTGTGATCGTCATGGATAATGCTTCCTACCATAGTCGCCGAGCCGAACGTGTACCGACTATGGGATCTCGAAAAACTGACATGCAGCAATGGTTGCGCGAAAAAGGAATCCCGTTTGACGATTCATGTGTGAAAGCGGAATTGTATGAAAAAATTAAACAGCACAAACCTGCGAAAATTAGTTACGTGACTGATGAGATGGCCCGTCAATGTGGTGTCACTGTGCTGCGGTTACCGCCCTACCACTGTGAACTGAACCCAATAGAGCTCATCTGGGCTCAAGTGAAGGGTTATATTGCGCGCCATAACACAACCTTCAAATTACCAGACGTTAAGGTTTTACTTGAGACTTCCATACAGCTAGTAACGCCCGAAGCTTGGCAGAATGCTATCCGTCATGTTGTGAAGGAAGAAACAAAAATGTGGCAGCTTGACCACCACATCGACAAAATCATACAGCCAGTTATAGTCAATTTCAACGAGGAAAGCGATAGCGACAGTTTATTACTGTCAGATGTAAGTGGAAGCGACGATGAATAAAGGTAATTTCCAAATTTTTGAATTACAATATGTTTCAAACCACTCTTTATTAAGCATGTGACAAATCTAGTTCACCCATGTTAAACATTCATACCCCGTCTATGAACAGCCGACTACTGGTAGTTAAGTGATGTTCACGTGAACATCGATGAGTCATTACAGTTTTAGATTAGTTATAGTTATAGAATAATTTATTTCTTAATGCGTCTAAGTGCAGTATAGTCTTCTGTGTGTAAATGTAATTATAAGATTGAGGATGTTTACATAAATCGTTATAACCCAATTAAGGATTTGGTGTAGTTTTTGACCATAAACTTAATTTCTCACTCCAGATAGCTCAAATAGTTAGAGAAGCTTCAACGGCGTACGGTTTTATTGTGAGAAACTGCAGAAGCTTCAGCCTCCCAGAGTCACTATTGGTCTTGTATTATGCATATTAGATCGAAATTGAAATATGCATCGTTAGACTCTAACCCAATTTACGGCTTTTACATTGATTCTCTTGAGCATGATCGGTGAAATTTTTATTTTTCAATATTGAGCGTGTATATCTTTTGAGCAGGGTATACCTGACAGTTTGGTGTTGTCCACGTTTCAAGTGCAATCTTTAGAGCTGCGAAGGAAGTGCGTGTCAATTATTTTCTTACATAAACTGCTGCACAAATTGACGTTAATGAGATTCTTGCTTAACTAAAGTTTATTGTTCCATCTATTCAAACTCGTACCGTTAAAACCTTTTATTGTGACCGGGCTCGTATAAATATATTTTTGAAAGCACCCATATATGAAATGTGTGAAACTTTCAATGCCATATCTAATTATTGTGATATAGATGCTGACAGTTTGAACAATATTCTCCGAGTAGCTAGGACTATATCGGAGAAACAAATATTAAATAACAGATTGGCATTTTTGACTAAACGTTGGGTCATTCATTCGGAAAACTCCAACCTTCTATCAAGGACATATTTTATCTCGTACGAGTGAAATTTATTGTCTTTCAAAATTCTTTGAACCGTTGAGCGTGTAAATCCTGAAGAAGTAGCCAGTCCACGAGTGCTCTGGGTGTTGTCATACGTGTCCCAAAACTGCTATTTCTGCGGCTAACTGGTCAATTTTCTCGATGGCGATTACGGCGAATATTAGACACAGATCCAGTTTCTTCAAATTTTCTTATCAACTTAGCCACAAACATATTTAATATTTTTGTCTGGATGTAACACATTAAATAACCGGGCAGTAGCTTTTGCAATGCTCCCATTTTGGTAATACAATTTTGTGATTTCTACACTTTCTTGAATTGAATAAGTCATTGTTCAATATTTATCAAAACTAGGTAGAT